CTTTCCTCACTCAAAACATTATTAAGAGTTCTCACATGTTTACTTCTCCTTTTTTTTGAACCAATCACAAAGTTCCAAGAGCACTTCTATGATTTTAAGATTACCATAAAGGGGGGAAAAAACTGAAGACCATCCCAGTTAACGTGTAGCTTCGACTTGAAAATAGTATTAAAGAAATCAAGACAGGTTATCATCTGTGCCAAGCATCGCCTTCTTTCTCCAGTTGTAGTTACTGCTTTCCATGATCTCCGATTCTCCATTCACAGGGTAGAGACATATCTAAGGCCTTAGTAGTAGGTTGACAACATAAAGGACTAAAAAAATGCATTGATGAACTTGTCATTTTGATGCTCAGGTAGAAGTCAGACTGGGCAGAAGAAAAACTTAACCAGAACCAAATGATTTGGAATTGGGAGGTGTTATTTCAGTCCCTGCCAAAATGGGGTATGTGCCAAAATGGGACATGGTTTTTTTCTTTATTCTTATAAGCCAGTAGTGAGCACTTAAATGCACCCTACAATTACTTGTTGATAATATACTACATATTTTGTCATATTCTGAATATAAGTTTGAATAAAATTATAAGAAGATTTGTTATTTTAGTTTTCAGACTGTGTTTGATTCTGCAATTTAAATTATCATTCAGTTTGCTTCATAAATAGATTAGGAAAGAATTCCCAGAGATACTGCGAGGAGACCAAACTGTTTGCCTTTTGAATATAGTTAATAATACTGTAATTACTATGTATGGTGTCAGGTACACACTTGAAATATCAGGGGGCACCACTCTGTAAAGTATGTGGTTGTCTAACCACTGCGTTGTACACCTGAAACTAATACAAAATAATACTGAATGCCAACTGTAAATGAAAAATATTGATACCATTTTTTAAAAGTTCTTTTTGTCTTCTGCAGTGGAAGTGTCACATACATCGGTGCTTGAAAAAAACGGCCTCTGTTCAAAGAGGCCCCTTCATTGTTGCTAGGAAACCCATAACTATTTTGTATGACCTTGAGATTTTAATTCATTTCCAGTATAGCACAATGAAGAGCAGTTGAATGTTTTAAACATTTTTTGGAAAAGACATGCTGACAGCCATTTGAAATTCTGTTTAAAATTTCTTTAGCAGTATATACATTAAGAACATCGCAGTATAAAGCAGGAACGAGCAATTTACCTTTCTTAAAAATCTCAGTTCTCAAAAAAATAACTACTGGTAACAATTTGGTATATATCTTTCCAGATTATTTTTATACATATGTAACTGTATCCTAAGGTACTTTTTTAAGATAAAAGTAATTTTTATGTATCAACTAAGAATGGAAGATACTATTATGTAAACTAAGTTGTATTTTATTCTAGTGACTGTGTAGGTAGAAGTGTTGAGAGCAGGAGTAGGGTTTGAATTTAGACACATTTAGATGTCTCGTGTCATTTAACTTTTTCATTTGGATTTTACAAAATAAAAACCCTAAAAGCGCAGAGTAATCAGAAAGTTTTGGTTTTTTAATAGCAAATTTTCATTCTCATATTTTTACCTCCATATTTTGGGGCTGTGTCTTGATTCATTTTGGAATAGAGCTTTCATTCCGGAGTATACTCAGATTGTTTTCACCTTACCTGATGCATAACATGTTACTACTGAGATAAATTAAATACAGGTGACAAAATTGTAGTAGCTGCAGAAAGGAGATCTTCAAGTACCAGGATTAATCTTCGGCTGACAAATTAATGCTCTTTCAGCGTTTCTGAAATTGATCAAGTTTATAATCTACTCACCGATTCTTCTCTACTAATGTGCAGGGAACTACAGCAGGACATAGAGGTGCCTACAATTTCTCCCAACCCTGATGGAGCTAATATTGATTTAATAGTAAATCCAGCATCTTAAAAAAACAAAGTAGGTCTTATGGGCAGAACATAAGCTCATCAACATCTAGAAGGTATGACAAAACCATGGAGCCTGCCTTAGTCAACTTCACAATAAAGTTTATAAAAGAAAAATCTCCAGTATAGTATATGCTAAGGCCAAAAGGGTGATACAGATAGCAGAAAATAAGGTACATACTATGATCGTTTCTAGAAAAAGAAGAGAAAAATCATTGAAGGCTGGAGAAGTAGAAGAATGCTGCCTTGGTGAATGAGGAAGGAATGGAACTGAGTTTATTAGAAATGATATGAAGTATGTATTCAGAGGATTGAATATTAATTAAGGATAGACTTGAGATCCCCCACATAAATATCAAGTCACATAATTTTAAATAGAAATATGGATATGAAATGCAGATTGGAGTAAAATGGATATTTTTTTGGCAATATTCCATAGTCCATTTGGATTGACCTAGTGGATTTGGATGGTATATAATCAATTTTTGCTGTGTAACCAACCAACCCAAACTGTAGAGACTTAAAGTAAAAATACATGTCAGTTCCTGATTCTGTGGATATCCAGCCTAGGCTAGGCCTACAGGGGACTTTCTGGGCTCATTCATGGCCGGCAGACAGCTGCCTGGACTACGACTGCGTGTTTTAGGGAGGCTGCATATGGGGCAGCCATAGCTGTTGGTCAGACACCTCAGTTCTCTTCCATGTGATTTGTCCTTTCAGTGTCAGGGGTGTGAGAGCGCCAGAGTGAAAGCTTCGAGGCCTTGTGCAGCCTTGCCTCGGAGGAGCAGCTCTCATGCTGTACTCTGTTGGTCAGAGTTAGGCCAGCTTCTGATTTAAGGGAGCAGAGAATCTGTGTCCCATTTTAATCTGCTGTTTAAGGATTCCGCTAAAATGTGATTAAAAACTTAGGATGGTCTTGACTGTAACTTGGCTTCACTTTCATTTTCAATCTTTTGGCTTCAACTCTATTAACTTTTTTTTTAAAATCCTCACCCAAGGATATGTTTATTGCTTTTAGAGAAGGAGAGAAAAAGAAAGAGACATCAGTGTGAGAGAGAAACATTGATCAATTGCCTACCGTGCACACCCTGACTGGGGAGTGCACCCACAGCCTTTGGAAGAATAGGACCCGGCCAGGGCTACTAATACTTTATTACAAGTGATAGTCAGTGTGCTAACAGGAAAAACACACGGGATGGCTAACAACTTAATTCTTCATTTTTGTTTTTTTCTGTCAATTTATTATGGAGAATTAGGATTTGGATTTGCTTACTCTAAATTTTTCTCTACTGCTTTTTTTAAATAAAGAAAATATTTATTAAAATACGTACTTTTTAATAAGTGGGAGCAGAGGAAGAGAAGGGAGAGAGCCAGGATCTGTGTACCATAATCTTAGTGCTTCCGGCCTCTTCCCATTCATTGTCCAGCCCTGGAAGTTAGTGTTGCTGAAATCTCCTGTGTAGTTGACACTTTGGTTCTGCATACCTTAGGTATTTGAATTATGCATAAGAAAATATCATCTAAAAGTGCTGTGCAAACTTTTAAAGTGTAAATAGGAAAAAAAAGTTTTGTGTGATAGTTCATTTACAGACTAAATCTTCATTTTATACCAGGTTGTTAGCTTGTTGAAACTTTATTCTTCTCACAGGACATAAGTAGTGAACAGACCTATGTTTATGTGTAAAGTGATATGAACAAAATTTCTTTTTTGAAAAACAAGATGTGAATTAATTAAACTTGGTGTTTTTACTCTTATAGATCAAGAAATGGTGCCATTTTGCTTACAGGTTATTTCTACTTTTTATGCATATAAAAAAATTATAGTTTTGTTGTAAACCATTTTCTGCCAGGAGACTTATTTTTTTTTAATTTTTTCTTGTTTTATTGAGTGTATTGGGGTGACATTAGTTAATAAAATCATATAGGTTTCAGGGGTACAATTCCATAATACATCATCTGTATATTGTACTGTGTGTTCAGTACCCCAAGTCAACGAGAAGGAGACCAGTTTTAGTTCTTATAATGTTTCAGTGGCATTAAGCCATCTCTTTTTGACAAATTGAAGCAGAAGAGTATCTTGGAATTTTTGTTTGGGGCTCAGGACATCTTATTTTACCTTTTACATATTTTTCAAATATTCAGCATTAATTTTCTTGAAGTGCGATCTAAATGGAAGGGTTGTACAGATTTCAGAATGTTATGGAATTTTAAGATGTCTTTAAAAAATATATAATACATCTGACTGGCTTTTTTCAAAAAGATAATGGAAAGGGATGAAGGAAATGTCTTAAAGATAATATTGATGTCCACCACTTGGTAAATTTAAGCTATATAAATTGAGTTCCCCCTTTTTTGAATTGTTATCAAAATTTATTGTTTGGAACTACATAACAACTTTTCCCCAGTTCTACTGAGATATAATTGGCATACAGCATTGTATAAGATCAAGATGTACAGCATGATTTGACTTACCTTATGCTTATTGTGAAATACCACAATAAGTTTAGTGAGTATCTATCAGCTCATAGAGACACACACACAAAAAGGAAAAGACAAAGAAAAGAATTTTTTTTCCTTGTGATAAGAACTCTTGGGATCTACTCTCTTAGCTTAGAAATATTTTTAAGCATTTAATAAAAGTTACAGAATCAAATTTAATAAAACTTTAGAATTAAGTCTGGGCAACAAAACGTGTCAAAATTCATCAGCATGCACCCCAGCAATGAGGAATTCCCAGTGTGCTGTGGCGCCAAGGCAAGCATGAACAGTGTGGCCTTGGATTGGTGTGACCTGACTGACCTTTCAGGGACTCCGGCTTAATTCAGTTTTAAACATATGCTTGGATATAAAGCATCCTCTACAAATAGAAACGTATATTCCTATAAAGTTGGCAAGTTCACACTGCTCTTCAAGGAAATTGTATTGACTACCATACATATTATATTGTCATTCTAATTTTATACAAACTAAACTAAAGACACAAACTAAAAACTGCACCTTTGAGTTTGAACTCTGTTACTCTGGTCCCAAATCACATCCTGTGTTCCTTCTGAACAGGCTGGGTGCACTGAGCGTGCAGACATTTAGTCCATGTGCATATTTTTTTCTCCAGATGTCACCAGAAGTTTGAGTATCACCAGTCCTGAACACATGATTGAAAAGGCCAAAGGGGAAACCGCCTATTTGCCATGCAAATTTACCCAGAGTCCGGAAGATCAGGGGCCATTGGACATTGAGTGGCTGCTATCACCCGCTGATAATCAGAAGGTGGATCAAGTGGTAAGTGTGCTGAGTGCTTGCTCTCTCAGCAGATAGTTCTGGAAACTTGTCTTCAGTGCCCATCACTGTGCTGACCACATAGGTGTGTGGGGCATCACTTGTGAACTTTCTGAAAATCTGGTTGGTAAAGTTTGGGGGGGGTGTATGAGAGTCAGAACATTGTGGAGCAAATATGAGAGTGTGGCAGAAATGTGCATAATATGTGTTAAGGGACAGTGAGTAAGCTAGACTTTAGAGAAGTTGATAGAATTGAATTTTTAACTTTAACATAAGGATTCTGATACCAGTAAAAGTCATGAAGTATAACTGTGTAACACAGTTACATTCTGTTGCAAAGTCTGTACTCTGTATTATTTCAAGGTAAATATCCTGTATGATGAATTTCTTTAAAAGCAAAGCAAGGTTTTCCTAGCAAAACAGCAATTTATAAAGTATTCAATACTAATTAAAAAAAATAAAATACCAAAATATTGTTACGGAAAATTTTTAAATTACAAAGTAATTGCCTAAGGCAGAAAACTTGGAAAGCCAAAAGTAGCACAAAAGAGGGAAATTGCCCAATAATCTCATTTCTAAATACATATTATTTATATCACCCCTTGCCTTTTTAATGGTACCAGAATATTTTACTTAATTTAGGATGTTGCATATTAGCTTCATCAGACACATTTAATTAAAAATAAAATCAATGTTAATAAATTATATTAGATCAGGGAGAGAAACATAAGTCCATATAGTAGAGGAATGTGGTGATTCAGTTGACCTTTGAATAGCACAGGTTCGAACTGCACAGGTCCACTGATAATGTGGATTTTTTTTCAGTAAATGCTCTAAATGTATTTTCTCTTCCATATCATTTTCTTAGTAACATTCTCTCTTCTTCAGCTTACTTATTGTAAGAATACAGTATATAATACATATAACATGCAAAATAAGTGCTAATTGACTGTTGATGTTATAGGTAAGGCTTCCCAGTCAGCAGTAGGCTATTAGCAGTTCAGTTGTGGGGCAGTCAAAAGTTATACAGAAATTTTTGATTGGGGAGCGGGGAGGTGGGTGTTGGTCCCCCTAATGCCCATGCTGACTGAGAGCCAACCATTGAGAAATTTTATTTTTACTTATGGTCCATGTAAAAGAAGGGATTATTCAGCCATTTAATGGTTGAACAGTGCAGTTGAATAATTACTGTTTTGGGCATGTTTTGAAACACTTTGCTCATGATGTATTTGTGAAGGAAGTAATTAAAGCACTTTCCTAAGTTGAGAATGACTAGGGCCACCCCCTCCAAGGACATACCTTTGCCCTGATTCCGCTCCTGGGAATTCCTTCTGTCTCCCTAAGCAAAATAAATTGAAACTGACTCACTCTGTTTGCCCAGCCCAGATACCCTGTTCCCTCTGTCCTTGCCTTGTTCTTCTCACCCCACCGCCTCCCTGGCAGGGCCAGCGCCCTGAACACAGGCTCATTCGTCAAGGTCCTGCGTACCCTCACTCCCTGGGCAGTGCGGTGCTCATCTCCCTTTCAAGTTCAGGACTCCACTCTCATGGTCAAGGTGAATGGATAGGGAGCACAGGTCTAAATGCTTCTGGCTTAAGAATTATTTAGTGAAGCCATAACAAGGTGCTTCTAGAGACCAAGAAGCCCAGTGTATGTCCCTAGTATTGTGTGTCCCTTCATGGGAAGAGGACCTGAAGTCTTCTATTGAGTGGGAGACACAACCTTGCTCCCTGCAGAACCTGTGGGTTAAAAAACTAGCTTTATAGTGTAAAACACGGTAAAATCAGGCCAGAAGAAAGCTAGAAGGTTTACGGGGAGATTGGCCCAGAAGAGAATGCTTTCATGGACTTGAGCTACATTACGTGTTAGCCGAGCCCTTATTTAAATACATTTATGCTAGCAGGCAGTGTGGCGGGGGACTGGGCTGGAGCAACTTCCATCCTTACTCCCTGTGTGATCTCGGTAGTCAGCAGACAGTAACAACATACTGTGTGCTCTGTGGTGTTTCGTATTCTCTAATTTTATATATATATATTTATTTAAACCTTAAAGCAACGCTCAAAAATGAGAACTGTTGTTTTATACATCAAGAGGAGAAAACAGAGGCCAGAGATTTGAAGGAACACGCCCAGAGTCACGCAGCTGGCAACATGGCAGCTGTTGTTTGAACCCAGGTTTCTCTGACTGCCCCCCACCCACAGCGCTTGCACCTGATTGCCGTCCTGTACTGCCTCCCATGTTTCAGAAGCCTCCGTTTCCTCAGGTGTAAAATGGGAACAAATAGACGTACCTCTCAAGACTGCAATGAGAATTCACTGCAATACTCTATGCATAAGCATTTCTCAAGCCTGCAAGTCATATAGAAACATTAGTAAAGTCAGTACACCGTGCCAACTCAAAGGAATGTGGTTCATGTCTCAGCTGTGTGACTCTGCACAAGTTGACCTGTGAGAGCCACTGCGTTCCTCAGGCGAAAGGATAAATATGGAGAGTACCACCACCCTGCAGGGTCTTGAAGAGAAATCAAATGCCTGGTCAGCAGAAGTCCCGCATTTCTTAACTTCCACTTACAACATTACTTTTGTGGGAAAATAACAAGATAGTTTACAAACTAACAGTGGGGACACATCTCTTATTTGTCAGGCCCTCTTCTAAAAGACTACTAAAGTGTGTGTGTGTGGAGCTAATTGAGGAATTGAAAGTACAATAGATTGAACTTTCTGGAGAGTCTGCAGTGAAACAGAAAGGAAGATAGAGCAGCCTCATTTGAGGAGTTCTCAATGTTGATGTTGACAAGTGGGTGTAGCAAGAAATGCAGCAAATGACGTAATGGCTGTTTTACAGAGTCAGTCAGCTGTGGACCCTTCCCCCTATTTACTTAGCAAATTGCTAAGTGTTTTGTTAAGTGTTAATTGAGTGTTCCCTAGGAGCAGACACTTAATATTTATTTAAATAAAAGATCTTTAGTGAATTAAGAGTGGGGGTCAGCATGATAGGGAGGTGATACAAAAGAAAAGAACTCAAGCCTCTGCCCTCAAGAAATTCCTACAGAGAACATTTATTCTGACTGGACTGTTCATAATTAACATCTAGGAAAAAAAAATTGTTTGCTAACTACAGGCTGTAGTCATGTTTTCTGATTATTATTTGACTGGCACCACTGGTCCTTGGAGCTCGAGTTGCAGATGACCAGAATGATTTTGTCAGCAAATGTGAAAAAATTATAAAGCATGTTAAATTAATTTTAGTTAAAGTTAGAGGTGACTATTATTACCAATAACGCTCTTCCAAGGCAGGTTTAACACAGAATTTATTTTCTTGCTAAATTCAGACTTTACTTATTTCTGTTAAAGCCTGTAGTTGGCTCAGAAAACTCAGTGGAATTAGGAAAGGGCCTTTGTTGTTGCTCGCAGAAGGTTAATTGAAAGGTCCTGTTACCCTGGGCACACATCTTAGGAGGCTTATTTTATGATTTTTCTCTGTTAGGGTCTAGAATGCTCACATATTAAATATTAACTCTCCAACTTAGTATGAAGACACAAAAATGTCATTTTTGATTTTTTGTTAGATTTCACAGGTAAATTTACCATAAACCCTTTTGGGGGGATGGTGGTGGTGGTGGTGTGTACTTAATTTTATACACTTGATTGACATACATACTTCAGCCTCTGAGACAGCTGAGAAATAGAGTGTATAGGAATTCACAAATCGTGTCTTTTCCGATTTCACTAACTCTAATACAGGGCTATATTACTTGATCATGTTGGGTCTTCGTTTCAGTAAGGATCCTTGGTTTCATGCTCAAGGATCACATTGATGTCTTAACATTTCCTTAATCTTGCTTTGAATAATTGTAGATTTCCTCATGATATGTGTTCTCATTCTTTCTTTCTTTTTTTTTTTTTTGGATCCCATAGTAGCATGGTGTACCCAGAGCACCTTTAATGAGACAGCTTTTGCTTTGTTATTGTTCTGTCTTATTTTGGTTTTCTTTTAGATTATTATATATTCTGGTGACAAAATTTATGATGACTACTATGAAGATCTAAAAGGACGAGTACATTTTACAAGTAGCGATGTCAAATCTGGTGATGCATCAATAAATGTAACAAATTTGCAGTTGTCAGATATTGGCACATATCAGTGCAAAGTGAAAAAAGCCCCCGGTGTTGGAAACAAGAAGATTCAGTTGGCAGTTCTTGGTAAGTTATGTTCATCAATGTTACTTATTAACAGGGTGATACCAGGGTGAGTGGTCGCTGGAGGACAGTAGCAGCATTTATGTGAAACACAGCTTAGTTTTTTAGAGTAATACTTTCAAACATTTGAAGTAATTTTGTATTTTAAATAACAAAACATTAAAGCTAGCATGCTTTTTTGGATAGAAAAAAATCAGTGAGCAGCTTCTTGGTGAAGTTCATAAAAGAGTTTGAAAGCAAAGGAACAGATTCTGTGATATAGGAGAAGAACCCTAAGCCACGAGTTAGGGAATCCAGGTTTTGTTCCTGTTTTTGTTTTTTGTGTTGTCCCTCAGATTTCTCCTGAGAATTAAAGAGCATCTTCATTTCCTGGACTTTAGCCTACCTTTGTGAAACATTACAGAACGTAATTATCATTAAATCTGTACTTGATCTCATTTAGTTCAAAATTGTTATGTGTACCAAAAACTTTTTTTCAAATTACACTACCCAAAGAGTAGATGAGGTTTCTATGATGACTAATTGGAGTATTATAATAGAAGAGATCAAGCGTGGTAGAAGGAATATGGAATTCGGGATAAGACTGTTAGACATCAGAGTCATTTAACCTCCGCAAGCGTCACAGTTTTGCATCTTCAAAGTAAGGGGATTTGCCACATTGTCACTAGGATGTGTTGTAGCTCTCTGTAGGAGATAAGTGTAAAGATTTTGTAAACTCTCTAAGACTGAAAAGTTTATTATCCTTCTCTGGAATTAACTAATCAAGACAGGTATCTCCCACATCAACTTTTGCTTCATTCCTTCTGTTTTAGAGAACTAATTAGGGGTTAAGCATATTGGGTATCAGACTCATTCTGAACATCACTCTTTTCTAAAGAATGAATATGAAAGCAAGAATAAGAATGCAGATTTCCATGCACTCCAGTGGCAACCTCAGGGTTTGTCTTGGTGGAAAGGTCATCTTCCACTGGCAGCATCATTACTGGGCATATGGGGGGGTCCTGGTAAAGGTACTTCATTCTAAATGGCACCCATTCAAAATATTTCCTATGGTTCGAATCTGAACAAGGAACCAGGAAAAAGAATACTGTAATATTGAAGATTCTAGCTTTCTCTGCCTACACTCAGTAACTGGGGAGTTTCCTTCCTTTTTTATAAATCTGAAGGCAAGTAAAAACTTAGTAAGTTGTCTGAACTCATGTCTCAAACCCAGGCATACCTGGGATTATAACTCTGACTCTATATCTTCTTTTAACACTACTCTCCAAAAGCGCTGAGTTAAGATTCATATGGAGTTTTAACTGGTTCATGATATACCAAGCAGAGTATACCAGTTTATCAGAATATCTGAATTTTTTGTTAAATCCCTGTTTGATTGGGGCAGGGACACTTGGAGGGATATGACTGACACATATTCCCAGAAGAGGTATGAAAAAGCTCAACGTGTATGTGTGTGTGTGTGTGTGTGTGTGTGTGTGTGTGAGAGAGAGAGAGAGAGAGAGAGAGAGAGAGAGAGAGAGGGAGGGAGGGGGGGGGGGGGGGGGGGGGAGAGAGAGATCCTGTAAGACCAGGTTCTGGGTTGAATTCTCAGGTTTCCACTGAAGGGATCATTAGAGCACATGGCTGCACATAACGTGGAAGGAACAGGTTGGACAGCAGTATGGCCAAGCACACTGTTAGCAGCAGCTGTGACTGTCGGGCAGGAGGAATGGCACTTTCACATCAAACGTCACAACCCCAACATTTAATTCCTCAGAAGGGATCATTGGGGAGCACTGACTCGATAACATCTTTTGTTAACTCTGTTGGGAATCACCATGGCTGAGTAAACCCTGAATTCGAACCAGGGAGGAAAGGAGAGAGGGTTAAATGAGAGTAAGAAGGGAAAGCAGGAAGTTGCTGCTAAGAGAAATGGAGATGACTAACACTCAGGAGTCAGAGACTTGCTTAGAGCACTCTTCCCTGTTTTCAGATGAGTCATGCTGTTGGAGAAACCACTAAAGTTTTCTCTTGAAAGTCACACTTGGATGGAAGCTCATCTGTTAGCTTTTCCTGAAAATTCTGCTCAGACAGTCTGGGGGGGCGGTGGGGGAGATGAAGTGAAGGGCCCTTTAGGAACCAGACTGAGTGGTAGTCCGGTGGAGCTCTTACTTCCCTGTTAGAGGCTCTGTGTGAACTTTGATATATTTGTGGGAAGTCTGGAAGGGAGGCGGAAATGCTCTTTGCAGAGTAATGAGCCATTGAGCTGCATGCGCTGTGTGGACATGAACCAGAATGACTGTTAGCTGCCGGGGGATGGGGGCACGACCTGTGGCCACAGCGTGTTCCATTTCCAGAGCCAGGCCTGCTCCGTCAGGTGCACCAGGCATGGATGTGGATGCAGGTCAGCAAAGAAGCTGAAAGAGGGTGATGGTAACAAAGGGAATTAATAGAGAGCCCACAGTATTAGCCAACACTGTGGCTACACCAGAGCCTTCCCCCACAATTCTGACAGGGCTTATTATTGAGACCTTTTGGTGTAAACAGACTGGATTGTTTAAAGAGTAGAACATTCCTAGTAAGTAGTTCCCTAGACATAGGCACTGCGCTGAGACTACACATGCGCCACCGGACACAGTGGCACCAGCGTGTGTGGTGGCTCAGTCAGCACTGGGACTGGGGAGCCAATAGTGTCAGGCAGGACTTTTTTATTTCACTTTTTATTCTGAAATAATTTTAGTTTTATAGAAAGTTCCAAAAATTGAGAGTGTACCCATCATCTAATTTCTCCTAATATTAACATTCTATAAAAGTATAGCACAATGATCAACACCAAGAAATTAATTTTGGGACAATACTACTATTAACTACAATACAGACCTAATTTGTATTTCACAGTTTTCTACTAATGTCCTTTTGTGCTAGGATCAAGTCTAATATCCTCGTTGCATTTACGCCTCCTTAGTCGCCTCCGGTCATGTCAAGGGGCACATGTTGTCACGTCTGTTAATCATGATCATTTGGTTTATGTTTTATCTGATGGGTTTCTCTACTGCAAACTTAGACAATTTTTCCTCCTGTAATTAAAAAAACTGTTATGGGGAGCCCCTTTGAGAATATACAGATACCTTGTTTCCCTCAAACTTTGCATGTTGATTTTTAAGCATCTATGCTTGGAGTTTGCCTGGAGTCAAGAGTGTTTTGAACCAAGCAAAATTAGCATTCCTGGACGAATGACCTGATGATAAAAGTACATAGGGTGGGGCAAAAGTAGGTTTACAGTTGTTCGTATGGAAAATACTATAATAATTAGTAATACAAGAATAAACTCTGTGTTTTGTGTGCTCACAACTGTAAGGCTCCTTTTGCCCCACCCTGTATATTCTGTTCCGTACGGGGATTTAGGGTGTGTTTTCTCTAGACCAAGGTAGGCCACTCACATGGAGGGATGATGACGCAATATATATATGAAGCACAGCATCACTACGTTAGTGGGCCATTGGCCAGGTACAAGCTGATGGTCAGGTACCCTTGCCTGAGGGGCAGTATTATCTCTGCTAGTGATCATGGAGGCAGGCGTTCTGAGGACAAAGGCCAGGTATCCAGACCAAAGACACATTAGGGGATAAAACTTTATCTGCATCCCTTTGTGATTTTCTCTTTCTATCCAGCCAAGTGCCATGGAAGAAGAGTTAACCTCTCCTGTAGATAATGGTGGGGGTTAGAGAGCAGGTGGGCCACTCCAAGGGGACACTCAGAAACCATTGTTGGAGAAATCTTGTTCTATTTGTGGACGGAGTATGTTGCGATCTCAGACTCGGGGGCCTTGGATTTCCCAAGCAGTCACTTCAAGTAACTGCTCATTATTGGATGTGTTTGGTATATGGGAAAGGGTCACCTTTACTAGAAGAGATGAGGGTTAGGGTTAATATGCTACATTACCAGTAGATACTTGATGTACAAAGCATTGCTTTCATGTCCCACTGCTAGTTTATGTAATAAAGGATTTGTTGGTAGTTTGGAGAAATGAAGAACAAAGCTTATTTTGTTAAAGACTCACAGTCTGAAATAATTTGCAAAGCCAATTTAAATGTCCAATTCATGCAGTCTCCAGGGCAACTGATCAATCTAAAAAAGAGACAGATTTGCTTAGGAAATCAACAATGCAGTTAAATGCGTTTGTTGATCCTTAGGAAAAAGTACAAGTAGTAACAGATGAAGAGGAGAAATACCATTAGATTGAAGAACTGTCAAGAAGTGGGTGAAGAGATGAGCGTAATTAACAACCTTGGTTAAAGATGCCCCACTGGCTATGATGGCTCCTGTTAGCCAGATTTGGAAAGTAGTGTCTTTTAGAGCTAAACATACACACAAACCATAAATGATCCAGCAATTACTGAGAAAAGGAAGACATTCCAGTATTTACATGAGTGTTCAAGCAGTATTGTTCATGATTGTATAAAACCCATTCATGTTTATTCGTAGTAGTGAAAGAGTAAAAGTCTGTCCAGGGCTGCAAAAAATGAAAAGAAGTTCAGACTAGAAAAGAAAAAAAAGCAGTTCTGCCATTTATCAGGCTGGGAGGACAGATACAGATACAGCTTCAGATATAGATACAGCCAACTGTGGACTTTATAAGGGACATTGTTTCTCCCAAGGTCGTGGAGCTGCAGTGAACTCTAGACTACTGCTGTCTCCCCAGTGTCGCCCCCAGACCCACTTTGCACTACCCATCCTGTACTGAAGAGGGTACGCAATTGCCAAATGGCCTTCGTCACCAGTTCTCCTAATCTGGCCTCAGAAACAGCGTTGGATTCAGAACCAATCTCTGCTTCTTTTAGAATCTACTAGAGTCCTCCAGAACCCCTCCTGTCTCTTTCTGGTGACATCCCACAGCTCCTAGTAGTGCCTTCCTCACTGGTCAGTCAGTCCGGTTTTGACAGACTACACACCTGCTCATGTCAGTTTAGTGAGTTAGGCTTTCACAGTAGCCCAAAAGCTGGAATCAGTGTTCACCAACAGATGAATGGATAACTCAGTTTATGTTATAGTCCATGAAATACACCTCGGCAGGGAAAAAGAATAGGCTTTTGAAATAGCATGAATCAATTTCACAAGCCTTACAATGACTAAAAGAAGCAAGACAAAAGTAATACCGTATTACTCACTCCGCTTCTGTGCCTCTGGAAGAAGCAGAACTAATCTACAGTGATAAAAATCTCATGGGTAGCTCCTGGGGCCAGGGTCGTGGCTGAGATAACTGCCCCCAGCACAAGGTTGGCTTGGGAGAGGATCGGGGTGGTGCTTAACGGGGGGGGGGGGGGCGTTTGTGCACGCACACGCATTTATTAAAGATGATCAACCTACACTACTAAAATGTGTTAATTTTACTGTATGTATATTATGCCTTAAAAAAGTTCAGTAAGAGTATGAAATGCCACAGTGTTAATCCAGTGCTGGGGTGAATTTCAGGTAATGGGGTTAGCAGCTTCTCTAAAGTTACCCAGAGAGATCTGGAATATAGCCTCAGATTCACCTTTTTATCACACTGCTCGGATGGTTTGGGTTAGTTTAAATATGGAATATTAAATGGTACTTAACTGTACCAAGTGCATTGCCCTGTTATCAGCATTTTTTATTATAAATCCCCTGGTGGGCACAGTAATGGCACCAGAGGGAAGGCACATGGCACACACTCCCATGTGAGGCACAGCCCGCGTTGTGCTTGCTTGCTTTCTGGTGGGCCCCACAGAACCACGGGGCACAGGGCTGTGCCTGCGACACTGCCGTTCCGCCCTGTGCCGTGGCTGCTTGCCTGCGCCCAGCCTTGCGTGTTTTGCGTTGGATAAAAGTGGGGAGTTGTTGCTGACCCGCTGTTGCAGCCTTTCAGTCTTGTCTACTCTGAGCCCAGAGCACGTGGTAACGAATCAGTGGTTGGGCAGCACGCTCTGTGTTTATGTAATTATTATACAGAAATTCCATTTTTGTGTGTAAAGGCATCATTTATTTTCTTTTCTCAGTTAAGCCTTCGGGTACAAGATGTTACGTTGATGGATCAGAAGAAATTGGAAATGACTTTAAACTAAAATGTGAACCAAAAGAAGGTTCACTTCCTTTACTATATGAATGGCAAAAATTGTCCAACTCACAGAAACTGCCCCCGGCTTTTGTAACAGGTACCGCTGATGAGACAATCTGTACAATGTGCCATGATTTTGACTTAGGTCTAATAGGAGTGTGTCTGAAACATATATGTATATGTTTGTTTATATATATTTTTATATATATTTATACATATACTTAATCCCCAAATACCATCCCTTTTCTGTACAGAGCAGTCAGGATTCCATGGAAATTATTCATTGTTTTATAATGACAAGTTGTCATGTAGTATAAACAGATATATTTTTATAACAGTTTACTGTTTTGGATATTATAATTGGTTTCTTTGATATATATATATATTTTTTTTTTTAGTTGATGGTAGTACTGGCAGAAAATGTTCATGATCATAACAATGACTAAATTATAGCAAGTTGGATCTTGAAAGTTTCATGAGCCTAGATTCATGTTGAAGATACTATAATTTACCCATGGTGTGTGTGTTAAAACAAAACAAAACAAAAACATCTCAAAAACACCTCTGTGACACTAACGAGAAAGTTACAAATTGGTTAAATCTGATGGCTCACTCTGTTATAATTGGCCTGTTATTCAAACTGATCTACAGTCTCCCTACCCTGGTTAAGTAGGATTTCTTTCAGCCTCTGTTTGTTTTTTCAAATTAGGATACAGACTGTATGACCCCTTCTGACTTTCTTTTGCATATTTCTTCCATGGTGCGGGGGTGGATGAAATAGCTTTTGCAAATCTTCCTGCTGCACCAAAGAACCTTTATGGCATGGAATATTTTTCATAGTCAATATAGCTCTGCTTCAGCTGAGACTCTGTGCCTGGCTAAGGAAGTCATGTTTATTTTTGCTTTGATACAAATGAACTGGTGGCACAATTGTTTGCATTCTGGAGACATGCATGTGTCTGCCTGGCAGCTTGTTCTGCACCCAGCTTCAGCCTCTGTCACTTTTGCCTGGATTGTTGAACTTAGTAGGGTTTGCCTTTGCTGAAAACTCAGCTCTCCTGTAAAAATCGGTTTTGCTCTGCCCCACCTTTATTTCCATAGAAATGACTTCACCTGTTATATCTGTAAAAAACGCCACTACTGAGTACTCTGGGGTATACAGTTGTACAGTCCGCAACAGAGTGGGCTCTGATCAATGTGAGCTACGCCTGGATGTTGTTCCTCGTAAGTATCTTCTTTCTGTCTGTTTTGAAAATGCTTGTTTCCCTTACCTTTATACAGCCCCTTTTGGTTCAGTCAGCAAGTGAATATGGAGGGCAAATGGATGCTAATTGTGAACAAAGCACTTTATGGTTTGGTTGTTAGTGTTCCTAAGTCAAGAAAGGAAAAATTACATTTTAATAATGAAACCTTCAATATTGTAGCACCATGAAGATGAAGAGTTGTCAATCAACTCTTATACCATATTTTGCCATTATATTAATAAGTACAAACTATTTGGAACATTCTTACATGCTAATTCAGATAGCTGGGAATAGTAAAGTCTTAATCTGGTTTGATTGCATTTATGCTTGAAATAGATTATACAGTTTAAAAGAAAGTTCTTCAGTAGATTTTGCCCCAGGACCAAAAAGCTAATTAATTTGTCCTTAAAGTTAATACATAGAATGAAATCAATCTGTCAGTGTGCATCCTTATCTTCAATATGACTAAATATGTTGTGGGGTTTTTATTTCTTACGGACATCTTATTCTAGCTTCAAATCGAGCTGGAACAATTGCAGGAGCTATTATAGGAACTTTGCTTGCACTAGTGATCATCGGTCTGATCGTCTTTTGCTGTCATAAAAAGCACAGAGAAAAAAAATATGAAAAGGAGGTTCATCATGATATCAGGTAATTAAGTGACACAGGAGTTGAATGATGTATACTGAGTTTATTATGCCTGAAAGAATTAGTTCTCTTAACCATCCAAAGTGTTTACCCCTCTGGGAGTTGGGTAAAAGCTATAGCTCTTCCCCTTAACACATCTGAAAACTTTCACCTTCAACTTCAAATATGCAGATCAACCCACCTCCATGGTGCCCTGCCCGAACCACTTTCCAGTTTTGGGCCCTATTTTAAGAACCAGCGTTTGTCTTCTTCAAACGCAGTGCAGGTATGAAGTTTAAAGAAAAAAAACACAGATGTTGAGGTTTTTAAAAAATGATCTGATTGTGCCTTGGCTGCTGTGGCTCCATTGATTAGAGCATCAGCCCATAAACTGGAAAGTCATGGATTCAGTGCTGGTCAGGACACATGCCTGGGTTGCGGTTTCCGTCCCCAGTCGGGGCACGTACTAGAGGCAAACTGATTCATGTTTCTCTTTCACATTGATGTGTCTCTCCCTCTTCACCCCTCCCTTCCCTTATCTCTAAAATCAATAATATGTCCTTGGATGAGGATCAAAAACAAAAAACGACCTGATTGTATCAAGTGACATAAATAGTAATGTGATTTTTTTTTAAAAAAAAACATTCTAAACCAGTAGATCATGACTAGAAGTGTACATTGGATTATAGAACTTTAAAAAATAACATTTGACTGAACACCCAGGAAATTGTCATTTGGTAGGTATGGGGTCAGGTCTGGGCACTTGTGTTTTTGAAATGGAACCTGGGGTAACTCAGGTATATATTCTGTGTCAGTCCATGGTGTGAAAATTCTTATGCCTGAATTCCTATTTTTGCAGACTTGAACCTGAGTTTTCAGCTAAGGTATTAGATAAAGTAACATATATTTTTTTCTTTTTTGGTAGACATATGTCTGCAGGTATTAGTGCTTTATCAACTATAAATTTTTGTATGACTATAATTAGATTATCTAGATTCATTGTACTGGAATGTGAAAATATTTGGGGTTCTTTCCTTGTAAGGCAACATTATGGAATCATAAATTTTTGTAAAAACCGCCTTTCGTTTTGCATGAAGATACGCACTCTGTAAATGATACCTTCAGGGAAAGTACACAGCTGGTGATGTTGTGCTCATTGAGCTCCCTTTTTTGTGTGTCATACACAGTTTTGTATATGGAATGCTTAAATAGCCTCCCCACCATGATGCACAGGTTGCTAAATTGTAGGTTTCTAGAAGCTTATTCTTGGAACTTTTACTGGGGTCTTTGCTTTCTAGGGAAGACGTGCCTCCTCCGAAGAGCCGGACGTCCACTGCCAGAAGCTACATCGGCAGCAATCACTCGTCCCTGGGGTCCATGTCTCCTTCCAACATGGATGGCTATTCTAAGACTCAGTATAACCAAGTACCAAGTGAAGATTTTGACCGTGCTCCTCAGAGTCCGACTCTCCCACCTGCCAAGGTAGCTGCCCCTAATCTCAGTAGGATGGGAGCGGTGCCTGTGATGATTCCCGCTCAGAGCAAGGACGGGTCGATAGTATAGCGCCTCTGTGCCTTCCATTTCTGTGCTCTCGAAGTAGGAAAACCTATTCTGTTCCAAATTTTGCTACCAGCCTCAATAGATCAAAAAGTGGACCAGAAACTACAAGAAATATATCTCAAAAAGTTTTGTGTGGTTATATCAAAATATAAAGGCATTAAAGTTACTAAAGACGAACTTGCCATCTCAAAAAGATTTCCTTTAAGAAATTGACTTCGTCGGTTTCTAAATATCAATATTTAGTAAGATGTAGCACTTTGGATATGAAATCATAGGGGAAGAAATTGGTGAACTTTGATGCACACCAAGGTGATACTTGAATCATCTGAAAGTAGTGCTTTATTATTTCTACCATTATTTTCAGGATGCCTTTCTCAATTAATTTATGACTGAAAACTGGTAAAGATGCATCCATGGCAAAAACTCTTAAATACCTTTATGTTCTTGTTTTTATATCTTCTTGGAAAACTCTAAATATGTTTGGAATAGCTCTAATAACATTAAAAAAAAAACTACAGTGTTCCAGAAATTACTGGTTTTCTTTTCAAGTCATCCCATAAACAAGGTTTTTTTAATTGATAGACTGCTACAGGCAACAGAGACATAATGAGCTCTTTTCTATGCTGAAATAAAGGAGTATCTATGGATTTTTCCTAGAAAATTTGCTGTCAGCTACATAGAGCAATGACACTTTGAGTTCAGTAGTGAGGGTGGGTTTCAGGGATGGGTAGTCGATACCTAGAGGCCTGGGGTCATCTTCAGAATGGCTTCCAGCCAGATCAAGGATGGAGTGTTTTGCAGTTCCCAAACTAAGTACCGGTTCTCTGCTTTAGGTCATATTTTTCTATTAAGAAAAAACTATAACTCGTTTATTGTTTGAGAGTTACAGATTGAAATTTCCTAATTATTGGTCCCATATTTTAGGAAGTCTTTTCTGGTTCAGCATCTTGTTGCTGTTTTTGGATGGTGTTGCATGTTATATGTTCTAGAAACATGTAATCCTAAATTTGTCTTCCTGAATGCAGTTCCCGGAGGATGTTTTCTTCATAGACTTAGGATGATGAAATAGTTTTTAGGCTCGTGTCCTCCATCAGTTCTGTCTTCCAGATGTGGAGGATGTGCAGTTGCTGTTGTACGGCCAACATGGCTTTGTGTGGTTGCAAAAAAATCAAGTTGAGCTTTGAAAAGTTTGAGTCTTAGTTTTGTGAAAGTGATTTATTCTTTAAAAAAAAAAGACACGAAAGGAAAAGAAGTAAAAGAATACTCCTAACTGCCAAATGTGTTAAATACTGTTTTAGTAGAAGAAAGTGAATTTCCCGTATTTCCCTTAAGATTGTGAGGGAGTGTGGATATAGTAGAATGAGCCAACAGTTTCTTTATAGTAAATGAGGTCTGCAATAAATTATTTCACTAGCTCTAAAACCTTTTCCCTAGATTTTTTAGGGAGTTGGTTTCTGTTAATCTTCTTGGGTGCTGTGATGGTTCATGCTGTATTATAAATTAATGTTGGCATGAATTTATGATTAGGAAGAGTATTATGTACACTTTTTAATGGTAAATTTAAGCTGAATGCCTGTGTAATGGATTAGTGTATAGTTTTACATATTTGGAAGCATTTTTTAAATAGATTTTTAACCTTACATAATACTGCTTTTATACTTGGTGTTAGCATTTTCATTTGTGCCTTTTGGGTAATTTAATTTTTATTATGAATTTCTGGTGCCTATGAGCTAGCTATCACCTGACAGGTGCTTAGAGGTGAAGGTACTGTTCCTAAAAGCGCATCACTGTGACACCTTTCCATCCTCACACTCTCAGTTTGCCTCTTCCTTTCTGTTCTTCATGGATGCAAGTTAACAAACAGATTGTGTTATTCATAAAGATTTTAAAATTTCAACACCCCTAACACTCTTTTACTGTGTTTCTGATTTTATAACAATAACTATTTTTGCATTCCAGATGTCTGATCTGTTTTGTATGAATACATTTATTTATCTAATAGTATAAGAAATAACAGCACAAACTTTAATAAACAACTCTTGGTCCTTTCTATTAGTTTTCATGTAATAAAGATTATGCTATCAAGTAAGTAGAAATTACTACAAAAAATGGACATATGTAAGGCTCTCCTGGCCTTAGATTTCATAGTTGGCCTAGGATTCAGCTCTACGTATGTCAGAATCTCTTCCAGAAGCACTTTTAGTTCAGGTCCATACCAGCTATATCCTGAGACACATGCTAGTAAAAAATCAGCTATGTAACCTGAAGAGACCTGTGGGGCATGATGAAGTTTAGAGGACAGAATTAAGTTTTACACTATGTCTCCAGCTACTCTTATTCTAAATCCCAGTTAATCCAAAAGTCAGATAGTTCTGATTGACTTCTTAAGTAATTCTCACCGATACTTCCAGTTGAACCAGAGATCAAATATTTGTTCTAGAATTATGATTGGTAGTCATCAAGCGATTCAACAAAAATGGTATTCGAGCATTTCTGTTAGAGCGTAACAACATGGGTCAAGTATGACACTGCATTCTTGAGGCAAAAGCAGTTGATCCCACTTTATACCTAAGAGACTTGACAGCATCTTGAGCTACGCAGGATGGCTTAAAGTGATACCATAGAGGAAGTAGTTCTGTGCTTTGAATACGTAGCTGATGGGTGCTCTTTTCTTATTGGCAATTTTAACTAATATTCTCGTTAGAAGGCAAAAAAAAAACAAAACACCCTGCCATGGAATTGTTACAATAGAAACACAGCCCAGAGTGTGTCTTGGGGGAGGTTAATTCAAGAAACAAAATTAGATTATTGGTATGAATTAATGCCTGATTTTTAGTAAAATGATAATTTTCAAGATTGAGTATTGTAAATTAGGACTAAGTGAAGGGGCAAGTAAACATCTTGATTAAGTATAAAAAGAATTCATTGCATGAAGTTGGATATCAAATTCTATAATGTATGGCTTTTAAAAATAATCATTCTCTGTCTCTTTCTGTGAGTGCAGCATGTAAATTTGAAATTATATGAATGTTGAAAGTTTTTCCTAATTTCTTTTCATCTCTACAGTGTTTAGGGCTTTCAGATGCCTTATTCCAGTGTGAACAGAAAAAGTCCTTATTATGTGGTTACTGCTTTGATGTGTCATGTGTGGAGTAGCTTGTAGAAAATGTTGGCACCATTTTTACTTCTTAGTGACTTGTGACATTATATATTATATATATGTACATAAATTTTTGTAATATTCTGTGTTTAGTAGTATAAATGTTCTGGGCAAGTTTTAATATTTCAAATGCCTTTGGATATTCTTGCAATAAAGGCAATATGTTCTGCAATTGGATTTTTTATTGTTCGCCTGTTTTGGCACTAAAGTATGGTCCATAACTGAGCACAAATTCTACTTATTAATGTTATGGAAGTGGGGAAGAATAATAAATTTGTGAATTGCAGTTCTGTGTATCTTATGGATAGTAACACCAGCAAATACTTGATCTTACAGATAGTAATACCAGCAAATACTTGTTGCATCTGTCTTCTCACTGTGAATTAAAATTTAGTTTTACAAAATACCCTATTTTGTAATTTAAGAATGTAGAGAATATCTGTTGGGTTTGGCTTTGTTCATGAACACTAAAATCTGCAATCAGGGAAGACTTTGTGTTTTCTCCTATTGAATAACACAAGTAGTAAGAGAACCACAGTTCACTGATTCACTTATTCTCATCCCTAACTGTGAATTTTTGTAATAAATACACTTGTACTACTGAGAAAAATATTTTGACACTTCATATATGCAAGTAGAGAATTGGTAGTGTCAGTTTCAAAAATGATTTTTGTATTTAAAGTTTCTGGCTTAAATGTCCAATGGTGCAGCAGATTTTGAAATTTGTAAGAACAAAATTTGGTTAAAAAAGCAAGAACTTGCTCTAGTTTTGTGACTTTGTGTACTTTTAAAATAAAATCAAAAAAGTAGTTTTCTGCCTCATGGTGTGGCTTCATTGTACCTTTTAAAAAAGTGTCTACTTTATAAAGCTTCAGTGTCAATTTCCTCCCTGTTGCCTGAGTCAAGGTTTTCTTCCTTCCACCCCCTGAATTCTTTACTAAACAGAATGAAGATCAGAACAATCACATATCAGTGGATACTCTGCAGTTATATGACCGTATATGACATAATCATTGGGGTTGAAACTCCAAAGTGCAGTGATCATTTCACAGTGTTTTACAGTGTAAAGTCAAAGCAGTATTTAAAAAATATGCATGCATATATGTGTTAAACATATCTGGTTCTGGTTTAAAGTTACTTTCATTGACTTTAAACATTGATTTCAGAAAAACCCAGGATGGATAAGTAACGCACCTGTAAGAAGACATTGTTAGGAGTATTTTGTTAGTACAGTACTACAGCTTCTCACTACTTGGGGCTGGGTAATTCTTGCGGAGGAGTGCCCTGTGCATTGTAGGTTGTCTAGTATCATCCCTAGTCTCTACGTACGGGGGGCCAGCAGCCCACCTCCTCCCCTCCCCCAGATGTGACAACCAAAAATGTCTGCAAATGTTTCCAGATGTTCCCTGGGTCAGAGGGCAGAACCCCTAGCCTTCCCTACCCGCCAGGCTGGTTTATACTCATATTACATTTTCTATTCAGGTTAAAATGAAAAGAGGATAGGCCTTGGAGTCAGACATGTTTGAACACCACTCATTACTAGATACTTAGCTTCAGTTTCCTAGTGCTTAGAATGGGAATAAAAATACCTACATCGCAGGGGGTGTTGGAAGGTTTTTAGGAACTAGAACTGATATAATGAAAAGTCTTCACATTTGTCCCTAGTAGCTGGGATGCTCATGATAATACACAGATTTTCAAGAAATCAAGATTACAATAAAATATACTAAGTGAAACTACTGAGTATAATTTAATGCCTTTAACTTAGATCATATTTTAATCTTGCAGTTCTGAAAGCAAGATATTATTTCTGGTTAATTAAATACCAAATGGTGAAACTCATGTAATTGAAACACAACTGTATATAAAGTAATTTGTTATTAAATAAAAGTGGTTTAGTTTTAAGTCTTAAGGCATAATCAGATGCAATTTCTAAATGTAATAAAGGCAATTAAGAAAGATTCAGAAGGCAGTCCTAAGAACTCAGCTCAGTTTTTCTTGTGGTATTTCTGAAATAGAAATCAAATGTGATTTGTTGTTTTGTTACTTAAATTATTTTTTCTAAATTCGATAATGATCGGGGGGGAAAGGTTGTCCTGGGGTGACTACAGAAAAAGAATTTGGTGACTTAATGAAGAACTGAGAGAAATTTCAGTCTCATTAACCAAGGACTAGCTCTTTGATCAGTTTGCTTCTCATTTCACTGCTGAGCTGTGGAAATTCTAACTCTAATGAAGAATGAGAGAGGTGGGAGACAGTACAGGCAACTACCGAAGTAAAAGGCTGATACCAGTCTCCATGGAGTACTAGACACCTTCATGTTCTTTTCTTGCCCTGAGTCATTGTCCCCAGTCCTGGTGGGTTGGTTGTCTTAACATGTAAATAATAAACATGTTAAAATCCAGAGCATCTTAATCTGATACAAAAGGTCTTTCATGGTCCATTCCATTTCTCCCTGGTTTGTTTCCTCCACACCTCCAGGTGCAACTCTACGCCCCTCTTGGGGGTTAGGGTGGGTTTCATACCTTTGTGAACATGCAGTTTCCTCAACCAGAGAACAGCCCCTCCTTGCTTACCTTCCCAGTGCATGTTTGCCCTATAAGTGTAAGTCCAGACACTGTCTCCTTTGTCATTTTTCTTGATTTGAACTCATGCCCCTCATTCACATGCTAATTGAGGGGTGCGTCTGAGACCTCAGTATTGCCAGTGCAGGCCTTTTATGTATTCTAATTAGTTAACATGTTTAATGTATCCCCTTTATGAATTTGAACCTAGTTTATTCACCTTTATCCCCAGTTCCTAACTCCTATATTGCTCAGTAATTACTGAATGAATTTTTAGAAAAGAAATGGCACTAGGGGGCCAGAATGCATTCAGTATTCCTGTCATATGGTCTGTAAGACTTGCCTGGTTTCTTCTCAAAAGGCAGTATCACAAGAGAAAAAGCGAGAGTTCATGCGGTGAGAAAGTCTGCACATGGCTAGAAAAGTGAACTTGTCGCAAATACAGAATGGGGCGATCTGACTCAATAGAAGCCAGTTTAAAACAAAAAAACAAAAAACTATAGAAACTGGGAGACGTGGAAGGACATTTCAGAAAGAAATGTCTAAAACCCTTCTCAGATTCTGACTAGGTCTGGAGGGAGGTCAGTGACTTTCCTAGACTTTCACAGCTGGCTCTTCACAACCATGCTTACACTTGGATGTACATTTAAAAAATAATAAGGCTTTATACACACTTGTTTCTTAATTTAATGAATCTTCTCAGACTATTCTACATCTATATTATCTATTTTCTATTATCTATACACCCATCTACCTATCTTGTTTTTAAAACTAATATTTACATCAAAGCCTCCAACTGATGGTCATTTAAATTGATCCCATCTTTTTGATGTAATGAGTAAAATCACAAGCAGTGTGTTTGTACAATATATACGTAATTATGTATATGTGTAAAGACATCTTTCAGGTAAATTTCTAGAAGGAGTGTTGCTGAGTATAGAGTATTTTGACAACTATTATTAAATAGCTTTGTTAGTATTGTAGCCGCGTATGCTAGCAATGGATGAGAGTGCTGATATCTCCCCCAATCCTGGCCAATACTCTTACCCAGCCTTTTGATCTTTCCCAATCTCTGTGAAGAAAATCATCTCGTGGTTTAAAATTCTGTTACTGGTTCAGTTGAGCACCTTATGTTTAAAAACCATTTGTGAACTATTCAAATGATTTACTCAGTTTTCTTTTATATTACAATTTTAGTTTGGAGCTCTTAAATGTATTAAAATGAGCCCTTTGTGATATGAAAACCTTTTTTTGCTAGGTTATCCTTTTTCTTTGACTTTGTTTATAGTCTTACCCTTCTGACCATGGAATCCTAAATCTTTCTAAACTGTCCTATTGGTTCATCTTGACTTCTCCCTCCTTGAAATTATACCCTCAAAGGAAGATGAGGATCACCTATCTTTTCATGTATTTGTCTCCTGTCCCTAAGCAGATGTGACTGCTCAAGGGTAGAGGGAGCATCTTCACATTTAAACGTTCCACTAATGCCCTGGCCAGTGTGGCTCAGTTGGATGCAGTGTTGTCCTATAAACTGAACGTTTGCAGGTTTGATTCACAGTCGGGGCACATACCCAAATTGTGAGTTATTTCCCCAGTTGGGGCGCTTCTTAGAGACAATCAATGTTCTCTCTCTCTTCCTCACTCTGAAAACAATGGGGAAAAAAGTTCTCAGGTGAGGATTAAAATAAATAAATATTCAGCACATAGTAGATTCTCAGTAATCTTTATTTTTAGAGAGAGGGGAAGGGAGTGAGAAAGAGGGAGAGAAACACCACTGTGTGGTTGCTTCTTGCAAGCCCCCTACTGGGGACTTGGCCCGCAACCCGGGCCTGTGCCCTGACTGGGAATTGAACTGGCAACCCTTTGCTTCACAGTCCAGCACTCAGTCCACTGAGCCTCACCAGCTGGGGCAGTTTCTCAGTAATTACTGATAATTGCAGCAGCTCAATTCTGTCAAAGCCATCACTGCATGTATTCCCATTACAGTGTGTTTCTTAATTTCTCTTTGGTTTCTTCAGGTTTCTGGAGTTATCACCTAAAGCAGTTGTATGAAATCAGCACAAACTAAACTAATGAAGAAAATGAGATATCTTGCACTTGAAAAGATGTGTCTAGGTCATGTGCCAGGTCAGCTGTCGCACACTATTCCAAGTTGAATGTTGGCTACCGACAGTGTGCTCTTTGAATGTTGCTAAGTAGGGCATTTTCCTCTCACATAGTCCCAGAACTGTCAACAATGAGAACATTTCTGGGGAACAGTTGAATGACCTTGCAAGTCTGAGAGGAAGCCGTATGATAGGAGAAGACACCAATGATTTGCAACCTGTCAGAAATTCATAGTCCTCCAGCATCGGCCTCCACCAGTCATTTCATCTAGTGACAAGGAGGGGACATTTTACTTGCTCACAGAAATAACAGAACACAATATTTCTGTGAAAAGAAACATGATCTTTGCCCTGCCAACTAAAAGATACTACCTGCTATGTCCAGGACAAAATAAAGATGTACCCTGTAAGTAGCCCAAAAGGGCTTTATGAACACATTTCTGTGGCTTCAGTTTAAATTTTTTGTGGTATTATGGGCAAAATATTTGTGAGATAGTTAATAAAATTTACATAGCAGTTCAAATTTTGTAAAAACAGCCCCTCACCACCACCACCAAAATACCAGTAGGCCATGTTATCTAATTCAGTATCAGTTTATGAAAAAAATCAAGATCGAGAAAGGTTTTGCTTTCCCAGGGCCACAGTTAGAAACAAAACCCAGGCCTCCTGATTCCTGGTCCAGTATTTTTCTAGGAGCTTTGAGTCTCCTTGGCAGGCGCAGCCCTGAGAGAACTATATGAAAGGAAAGAAGGGAAGAGTTAAGAGTGTGTGGCTCACTCTGACCTCTCACTCCCGTCCTTGCCACGCTAGCCTGGGAGAAGGCTGGGGGAAGCAGAGCCGGCTCTGGCCTATCCAGTGCTCTCTGTTCCCAGTGCAGAACTTGCTCACTGATTCCCAGGGCACAAGTGAGCATCAACAGCAGCACTCTTCAGAGATGCCTGCGGTGTCCCCACCATGGTGTATGATTGACAAGAGTCTGCTTTGTTTGGTACCAAGCCTGTTTATGCTTGTGGTGTTGCTGACTGCATAATTTGAGTAAATTGTACATAATTTGGGCAAAAGTACTAGACATGGTGAAGATAACT